CAAGCGTCCTATCACTGAAGCAGCAATGTCCTCACAGAGAATGAAGTAGACTTCTCAATTCGGAGGGCCACTCTGAAGTAATGTCAGCCCACCCAGGGCAGGTGTGGGCTTGGGACGGGCAACTCCCCCATGCCGGCCAGTGATGAGTATCTTCCTCCCGCAAGGATGTTAGTGCTATGACGGCCATGACCTTTCTGTCTGGTCCCCGCTGGACCCCCAGAACCTAGAGGAGTTCCCAGCCCAGTATCTGCTCACTAAGAGACGCTCACTTCCTCCTTTCTCTCCTAGGTCTGCTCCGGGCGACCAGAGCCATGCCGTTCTCCAGCGCAGCCAGGGCATCAGAGGAGAACTTCGACTACCTGTTCAAGATCATCCTCATCGGGGATTCCAACGTGGGAAAGACATGCGTGGTGCAGCACTTCAGGTCCGGGGTCTACACAGAGACACAGAACACAATTGGGGTGGACTTCACCGTGCGCTCCCTCGAGATCGACGGCAAGAAAGTGAAGGTTGGAGGGCGGTGGGTGGGCGGGCAGGTGGGCTCTGCGGTTTCACCAGAGTCCCTCACACCCACACACATGCCTGGGGGACAAAGGACTTAAATATAGAACACCAGATCATAACAGAACAGAAGAAACCATGGGAGAATTTATCTTCAGCTCTGGTTCCCTAGAGCGGCCATAACAAAATACCACAAGGTGGCTGGCTTTAAAGAAGAGAAATGTATTTTATTGTCTCACAGTTGTGGAGGCTAGAAGTCCAAATTCAGGGTGTCGGCAGAGCTATGCTCCCCGTCTGTCCGCTCTAAGGGGAAGATCCCTTCTTGTCTCGGTCAGCTTTCAGTAGCCCCGGGCGTTTCTCAGCTTGTCGATGTTATCCTCACAGGGTGTCCTCCCCTGCGTGACCTGTTTCTGTGTCTGTTCTCTCCTTTCACAAAACACCACTTAGAAGGGTTAGGGCCTTGTCTGATGCATTAATTGATAACAAAAGAAAAACCTTCTTTCCAAATGAAGTCTCCTTCACAGGTCCAGGGGTTAGGACCTCAATGTGTCTTTCTGCGGAACATAATTCAATCCCTAACAGGAGATCAGCTTTTTAAGCAAGACACTGACCCAGAAGCCATAAAGGAAAATATCACTAAATCTAACAACATGAGAGCAAATTTTCCACATAGTCAACAGATACCTTCAACAAAGGCAAGAGATGAACAGCAAATCGGAAAGAAACATTTGCAAATGTGGCCTGACAAAGGGCGGATTTATTTCATGTGAAAAGAGCCTTGATAAATATCTAAGACCAACAACCAAGCACAATGTGTGGGCGATTCACAGGTTGGACACAAACTGCCATTTCCCAAGTTTAATAAGAACAAAGGAGCCCTGGCGGCGCAGTGGTTAAAGCGCTCAGCTGCTAGCCGAAAGGTCTGCAGTTGGTTGGAACCCAGCGGCCGCTCCTCGGGAGAAAGATGTGGCAGTCTGTTTCCGTAAAGTTTTACAGCCTTGGAGACCCTATGGGGCAGTTCTACTCCATCCTGTAGGGTTGCTCTGAGTCGGAATGGCCTCAATGTCAGTGGGTGTCGGAATAAAAACAAACTGTAGGACTTAGGTAAGGGTGGGAAGATGCCCACCTCCCTCAGAACTAAAGAAGCGCAAATTGAAATAACCGTGAGATACTATCTTTGACCCATTTGATTAGAAAAGATCAAAGGTATTGGCGAAAATGTAATAAATGGACTCTGGGATTCTAAGAAAAAACAATCATAGACATTTTGGAGACAGTCAGGAAAACGTTACTATGGTCTGGGTCTTAGAGGACACCAAGAACTAAATGGAATTTCATGGGCAGTGATCATGGCATTGTGGTTATGTGAGAAAATGTCCGTTTTCAGAGGGCTGTGTAGCAATGGAGGTAGGGTCACCATGAGTCGGAATCCACTCAGTGGCAGTGGGTTTTTGGTTTTAGGGATGAAATGACGTGAAGTCTGGGATTTGCTGTAAAACAATACCTCAAAGACAAGTACTGAATCTGAGCAAGGGGTGTAGGAGGTTTCATTGTTCTATTCTCTCTAGTTTTCTGTACGATTGGAAACTTTCTTTTAAAAGCAAACCTTAAAAATAGTGTGAGAGTTTGAGGAGAGAGGAACTCACACGCCATTGAAGGCATGTAATTAGAGCCCCTGCTGGGGACGGCACCATCACAAGGACACCCCCAAACACGAACAGCCTGAGTGGCTGTCTCAACACACCACGCTCAGCCAGCACCCTCACTGCTACCAGCAGGCAGGCCCACAAGATGCACCCCAAACTCTGGTCCTGGGGGTGATGAAGTGGAAAGCGCAAGAACAACAGACCCCCAGGACAAACCAGGCCCCCCTCTCTGACTACCGCGTGCCTTCGACGGTGGTTCCCAAACCCCAAAGCACATCCAGATTACCCGAGAGCAGCTCACAAGTAGGTGCTGGGCCTTACCCGAGCCCCGCGGAATCTGAATATCTAGACGGGAGACCCAGGAAACTACTGTGAGGGGGCTCAGGGAGCAGGCTGCCCTCAGGCGTGGGGCTCTCGCACATGTTCTCCTTCCCGTCCTTCTGCAGATGCAGGTGTGGGACACGGCGGGCCAGGAGCGCTTCCGGACCATCACCCAGAGCTACTACCGCAGCGCGCACGCTGCTATCATTGCCTACGACCTCACGCGGCGGTCCACATTCGAGTCCATCCCGCACTGGATCCACGAGCTCGAGAAGTATGGTGCGGCCAACCTGGTTGTGATGTTGATCGGTATGGCTTTCCCCAGGCGTCTCGCTTCTCTCTTCGTGTCTTAGATGGCAGCCAACACACAATCAGAAAAGCACTGACAGCCTAGCACCTCAGAGAGCTCTTGCCCGTAACTCCCATCAGGCTCACTGCTTCGAACCCACCCAGCCGCACTGCGGAAGAAAGGCCTGGTGACCTACTGCCATAAAGACTACCAAAAGACCAAACCCACTGTTGTCAATTTGATCCCACTCATAGCGACCCTAGAGGACACAGCAGACCTGCCCCATAGGGTTTCCAAAGCTGTAAATCTTTACGGAGGCAGAGTGCCACATCTTTCACCCAGGAAGCAGCTGTTGGGTTCGAACTGCCGATCTTTTGGTTGGCAGCCGAGCGCTTTAACCTCTGCACCACCAGGGCTCCTTCCCTAAAGATTACAGCCCAGAAAACTCTAGGGAGCAGTTCTACTCTGTAGCACACGGGGTCGCCATGAGTCGGAATCAACTCCACCACCAATGGTTATTTGAGAATGACAGGGAGTGGAGCAGCCTTGTTAAAATGCAGACTCCAAGCCCCGCCCTCGAGTGAGTCCCTAGTTCAGGAGACCTGGGGTGGCCCAGAGGTCAGGGGGAAGGCGCAGGTGACGCAGGATTCTGGCACGTGAGTTCTGTGTGAGCACCCAGGGTGCTGTGCTGTGGCCTGAGGTTTCCAGAGTCAGGCAGCTCCACGTCCCCCAGGGAGCCACTCAGCCCAAGGTGACTGACTGTGCCCTGGATGACCACCTACACCCCCTAAGACCCTAAGCAGATCTCATCAATGAGTCAATGTGACTGACAAACTTCAGCCACACACGGTAAGCAGAGCAGCTCGGCACGCCAGCCGTCCTGCCGCACACTCAGAGGAGAGGCACGTCTCCGTCCCTGCCCTGTCGTTTCAATTTAGCAGGCAGAGCTTGTTCTCCCCCGTCCCGTGTGCATCACTGTTACCAGGTGGCAGCTGGGTTA